GCTGTCTCAAAAAACTAGTGGACAATGTCCGAGTAATGATATTCAAGGTTGTCCTCTGACTTTCACAAACACACATGTGCACATGTACCCATACACACACACACACATACACACACACTCATTCACACACACAATACTCTGTCTCACACTCACTCACACATTCTCTCACATACACACTTTTCACACACACACTCTCACAATACACTTTCACACTCACATACGCTCACACACATGCACACTCTCTTATACACTCTCACATACATACACACTCTCTTATACACACTCTCACACTCAGTCACATACTCACTAACACATACTCTCACACACAGTCTCATACTCTCTCTTTCTCTCTCTCACACACATTCTTTCATACACACTCTCTCACACACATACATATACACACTTTCTCATACACAGTCTCTCACACACTCTCTTAAACACACTCTTACACTCAGTCACATACTCACTCAGACACATTCTCATACACACTCACACACAGTCTCTCACACTCACTCACACTCTCACATTCTTTCATACACACACTCTCTCACACACATACATACACACACTTTCTCATACACACAGTCTCACAATCTCTCTTACACACGTACACACTCGCACACACAGTCTCTCACACTCTTTCACACACACACACACACACACACACACACACACACACACACACAGTGTTTAAGTGGGCTGAGTGTGTTGGTCCGCTGAGTTTGCAGATAATCGTGGTGAAGTAGCTGTTTTCATTGGTGGGATCATTAACCCCTCGGTTGCCATTATTTATCACTTCAAATAATTCTTCAGAGAAAAGTCTCTGCACTGATTCACTCTCTCAAGATAGCTGATAGGAGGCAGTATTGCTTTTAACTCTGAACAAACTGACACCTTCGTTACTGTCAACGATGCCTTCTGGAGCCTCACCAACCAGTATCACCAAACTCAGAATTTGCTTATTTGATGGATATATAACTGCATAATGTAACTTGGTTTTCTTGGACTACTTGAAAGTTCCAGAAAACCTTTGTGGATTCCTCACCAGTTATGATCTCCCTCCTGTAGATTACAAGATCCTATCGCTTGCTCGTGCTTTGCTATTTGTGACCTTGTTGTCAATTTCAAGGACTCCTAACGTTACAGACTAATAATTTCTCCAATGTGTATGCTGCAAGTACTTTTCCGTGAACTTGTTATTTCTTTTACTCATTTTCAGGACATTTTTCCATTTAATAATTAGTTTTTATAAAGCTAAATAGGCCAACTTTTAAAAATGTTAATACACAGCTATAAATCTATTTGAAGCCTTCAAAATTTACCCTAAGTTTAGAATTGCTCACTCTAATGTTTCTCATTTGTTAAGAAATTTATTTTATATATAAAATTAGACAAGGGTAGGATTTGTTTTCCTTGGGATGAATGATAAATTATGCCTGCCTTGTCTTTCCCCGTGACATTTAAATATTACCTTTTCTATAACTAACCTATCGTTTTTCTATAGTTCACCTTTGTGAGTTCTTTCTGGATTTAAGCTATTTTGTGTTTTACTTTTCACAGGTAGTGACACAATGAATCGAATACAATGGACTAGTCAGTTACTTTAATATACGACCCAGAAAGTCCATTCTTAGACTCTCCTTTTAATTAACTGAAGATGTGGTTTTTAATCAAATTATTCATGCACACATTTAATAGTCAGATAGTTTTATGATTTTTTTCTCCAGTCAAAAATTAAAAGTTCTTGTTGTCACTGTTGCCTCATATTTCTCTTCAGTAGGCAATAATTATAACTTGTCTGTAACTACATTAAACTGAATTTTACACTGATCTCTCATTGCATTAGATGAGGCCAGAGTTTTATTTATTTATTTTGTTTACATCCCTACCAATAAGCATTCTACCTAGTTCCCATTTCTTCAGTGTGGTTTTAGGTTGCAACTCTTATTAAATCAATCACTGAATTGAGGTGGCTCACTTACAGGTCAGAAGTTTAGTCCATTATCATCACACAGGGAAAGGTGGTGTGCAGGCAGACATGGCCCTAGAGACGGAGCTGACAGTCCTACATCTTGATTTACAGGCAACAGGAAGTAGTCTAAGATACTGGGCACGGCTTGAGTAAATACAAGACCTCTCAAAGCCCACCTCCAACACATTTCCTCCAACAAGGACACACTCCCATTAGTGCCACGCCCTTTGGAGGCCATTTTCAAACCACAGTAAGATCATTTTCCCTTCTTACACGCTTTCATTTTCCCAGCAATTAATATTTGTTTGGTTCCTGCTTGTATACCTGTTTAGGTTTTAATGTAGCTATTCATTCACTCCCAACTTACCCACTAATTTCTAAGACTTCTTTCCAGATACTAGAGATATTTGACCATCTTGAAGACTAGAAATGTTTCCTGGCATGGTTCACCCTGGACTGGTTGTGTCCTAGGTTGGATGCACAGTTCCTTCCCTAAGAACTCCCTTCCCTATCATTTGGAGATTCTTCTCAATTTTTAAAATTTAGATTTACTTATTTTTATGTGTAAGACTGTTTTGCCTTCATGTATATATGTATGTATGTATGTATGTATGTATGTATGCACCACAGGCATGTCTTGTGTCCTCAGAGGCCAGGAAAGAGAATCAGATTCCCTGGAACTGGAGTTATAGATGGTTGTGAGCCCCCATGTGAGTGTCTAGAACTGAACCTGAGCCCTCTTCAAGAACAATAAGTGCTCTTAATTGTTGAGCCATCTCTCTATCTCCTTCCTTCCTTTTGTTTTTTATTAAGTAAATTCTCTTTATTAAGCATCTTCTTTACTGAATCTCAAGGTTTCTTCTTTCTCATTTAAATAATTAAAGTTAAGTTCCTGAGGAAGAGCTTGAGGAACAGGTGGCTAATTTGCATGCATGACATCTCTGATCTGTACGCTTGGTTGACAGTTTGTATGTAGAACTCTACTTCAAATATCACTTCAGTTTTCTTCAGGACTTTGAAGGCATTGAACAATGGTTTCCACTTTGCATGTTGCTCAGAGAAGTCTAAAGCCATTCCTCTGTTTAGTGTGTGGCTTGTTCTACCTCCGTAGAAAATAGTTGATCTTTGAGGACTCATAGTATTCTGAAGTTATTCACTATGTGCTTGCTGGTGAGACTTTTGTTCTGTTTACTTAGCAGTTGTTGGGCGATTGCAAGGAGTTGGCACATATATAATTCAATATTTTGAAGCTTGAGACAGGTTTCTTCTATATTGCAGACTTCCAAATTTCTCCCCATTTTCTTTAGGTATCCAGTGTATGAAACCTGGAATGGAAATTATTTCATTGTCCTTTCAAAATGTAGTACCATGTTTAATTTTTGTCTTGAGAAAGGATCTATGGTGCTTTCTAGAGCCTGGAGTATTGGAATTGCAGGTATGTACCCATGCCTTGGAGATTTTACAGCACTTGATAGTTTTTCTAAATGACTTGAGAATGGGGACTTTGAGGTGGAATAGTCAAAGAAGACCCTGCTTTTCTCTTCCATTCTTTGAGAGGGTATGGCCTGACTTTGTTGGACTGACTGACTCCATAGTTTGTAAAACTTCCTTCTTTTTCAAAGATAACAGAGAATTTATTTTTCCTTGGGTGAAGACCAATTAGCAAACTCAGGTGATATCTGATCTCCTGATATGAGCTTTTTAAAACTCTTTTGAGGTTGGTTGTGGTGGTGACCATCTTTAGTCCCAGCAGTTGGGAGACAGACACAGGTGGATCACTTTGTGTTCATGACCAGCCTGGCCTACATAGTGAGATCCCATCGCATCTTAAAGGCAACAACAACAATAATAACAAAAACCATAACAAACCTCAAACCCAAAGCAGCCCTCCCCCATCTAAAGGGGAGACATTTTCTTCAGCAATATAGCCACTGCTGTGATGCTCATATTCCTGTAAATAACCTTAATGAAACTAACTTGGTCACAAGAAGAAAAGAAAAAGACATGAAAGTAGAGGGAATTATTGGGAGAGGAAGAGGGATAAGAGAGAGAAAAGGGGTGAATATAACAGATATGCCTTGTGTATATGTATGTAAATTTAATAATGAAACCCACTATTTCACATAACATATGTTATTAAAATTAGAACAGGAAAACCCCTCTCATCGTATCTTTCAGTGGAGTTGAGTTCAGAGTCAATTTGAACTTCTCTTGATAGCTTCTTGCCTGTCTCCATTTGTCTTCTACCAATTTGCTTTGGCAGATGTTATATCCTTTGGTTTTAGAAAATGTGCTTACCTTCTTGTCAGTCATCTTCACATCATCATATTTTGTTTCTTCTTTTCATGGCCATACACGGAATACGGTGTTCTGCTGTTTGCTTTATTTTCTGACTTCACCATCTCCAAAGCCTTAGAACTCTCTGATCATTGAATCTATTCAGAAGATAAGAAAGAAAGGAAGAATCACACTGAGAAGCTTTTACAATCCCAGCTTACAAGTTCATGGTAACCTAATGGCCAAATGTGGCCATCCTCTGTCCCTTCAAAATGTAAGACAGGTTAGGAAAAGTGGTCCAGCTTGTGCCCAGTAGGTACTTAGTAAAAGAGGGCTCTGATGAGTGTAGAGCAGTCTTTGTCACTGCTGGCCTTGATGGCCACATAGGACCCAGCTCACATTTTTCCTGTCCGTAGAACATATCACTCTAACTCAACCCTAGGGCAGGCAGTCCTAGGCTTTGCTGTGCCTAGTTTCATTTTGAGATTTCTGTCTTCTTTAGTAGGAATAGAAGTGTGTAGTTGTGGAGCACTGACATAAAGCAGGAGGCAAAATAGTCTGCTCTCCACTGCAAGTGGGGCAGGAATAGGAAAGCACAAAGAAAAATTCTGCTTAGGAGAGACACAGGGAGGAGATATGTAGCAGAATCAGACCCTGTGGATGCAGATCTTCTGTTAGGGAAGCATCATGGGGCTTTCCTAACCCAGAAGTGGAAGACAGTGTTTTGTTGGGCCAGATTCTTTTATTATTATTATTATTTAAGACCTTTATTAACAGGTGCTTGCAGTTTGTTGACTTTTTTTGAAAAAATCAAGTTGTAAACTTTTTATTACAAATTAAAAATGAAGTTCTTAAAAATCTTAACTTGACCAGATATGAAACAATTTAAAAACCATTAAAGGTGTATTGAGAAAAACCAGACCTTTTTTTTTTTAAAAAACACATTTGTCATTACCAAAAAGAGACATCTTTAGGTAAAAATAATAAAAACCCCATGCTGCATAGATAATGCAGATAGTTCTAGTGTATCTGGTCAACGGGCAAAAAGCAAGCACTTAAGGTCTTCAGCTCCAATCTTTGTTCATTTCTTATTGCTGGAATTTCATATTCTTTTCTTCTTGTTGGATGACCAAACCGGATGATGGTAGAGATGGTAAGCCGGCATTAACTCAGCCCCGCCCTGCTCAGCCTCGGGAGCGGACGAATTCTCAGCTGGTGGATCGGCTGCTTTTGTTTCTTTGCCATCTTGTGGTTTAGGGTTCTCTGGGCGTCTGCGTCGGTAATTGAAGTTGCGGCGATACCGACGTTGAGGTGGCTGCTGACCTTGGGTCTCGTCTCCTTGATTTTCTTTGTCCTCTTCATTGCCATCCTCTCTAGGCTGTCTTTGGCGAGGAGGGCCCCTGCGAAATCGTGGTCTGTAACCCCGATACATATTCTGTCTCACTGGTCTACCTTGCTCTCCTGCACCCTGGTTGTCAGCACCCTCCATTACTTCTCCTTGCACAGGAGGGTTGGAATACTGTGGTCGACGCCCATAGGGTCTCCGCACATAGTAAGGTGGGAACCTTCGCCTGCGATAAGGCCGGCGTTGTTGGGCTTGGCCTTCAGGAGCGCCTTCCGATCCCTCGTTCTTTTCCCCACTCTCACTATTCTGGTAATTCTGCTGGCAATTACGTGGAGGACCCCTACGACGTGGGTAGCGTCTATAATGGTTACGGTCTGCTGCGTATTTACTGCCTTGAACTGGAACTCCACCAGGGCCTGTAACATTTGCTGCCTCCGCACCCTTTTCTCCTTCAACAACATCAAACTCCACAGTCTCTCCATCTCCTACACTGCGAAGGTACTTCCTGGGGTTATTCTTCTTTATGGCAGTCTGGTGTACAAATACGTCTTCCTTGGTGTCATTCCTGTTGATGAAACCGTATCCGTTCCTTACATTGAACCATTTTACTGTTCCCAAAACCTTCGTTGCGATGACCTTCTTGTCCCCACCGGTGGGCGCCGCCGATGTGAGGCCGCCCGGGCTGCCCCGTGGAGCCGGGCTTGGTGTCAGCGGCGCTGAGGGCAACGGCGGGGCCTCGCTGCTCATGGTTGCGGTGGTGGTGACTGGGGCCGGCGGCGGCGGGGCTCTCAGGGCTCTCTGGGGTCCGCTCTCCGCTCCCGCTACCGATCGAACTGGGCCAGATTCTTCTTGTGGAGAGGGACTCCTTTGATAACTGTTCCTCATGGCTCTTGGCTTCCCTACTCCAAGATTACTCTACTTCATTATACTTCATGTTGACATCAACAGTAGACTTTCGGGGACGGACTTTCTTTGGCAATGTGTACAACTTTATCATCTCTTTCTTCCTAGGAGTTGTATTGAGACATATATAAACCAAACTTTAATGCTAGCCTTATGGTTCTTTTTGTCAATTCCACAATTGACAAAATACATTTCTATTTTTTGTCAATATCTACTTTGATATTTTTCACTGACTTGCTTCAGTAAGTTATATTCTAGTTGTCATCCACATAGTTGTTTCCCTTTAGGCAGAATTCTTCTTGTTTCCTTATTTATCTCTTCACTTCCATACCCCTAAACTTTGGTGGTTTAGATGGAAGGGTGAAACCCTTACTTCGATATATTTCTATCTTTGGAGATAACAGTCAAATACATTTTTAATAATTTATAAGATAGATGTGGTCTAATGAAAAAGTTATCTCTTTGCCTTGCGATTCAGAGGGATTTCCAATTCAGTGCTTTAAGGAGCAATCAAGTAGAGACAGCGTCTCACATGATTAAAAGAAAGTTGATTTTGGAATGACCATAATCGGTAAAAGATAGAGGATAGGGCTGACCTGGGTTTCACATATAATACAGACAAGTGTAGATTCATAGTCAAGAAGCAAAGTAGAGGCCAGTGCTTGGAAATTCCTAAGAGGAAGTAGAAGGGTTGTAAGGGACAGTCTGGCCACCTGGCTTCATAGGACACTTGCTGTACACAGACCAGGGTGATCAGACACAGAAGTGGGAAGAGGACCAGAATGCAAAGATGAGGATTCTCTCCATTCTTGCTGGAACCAAGTGGTGAAGACCCAATGGAGATGGATACTGAAGTCCAAGCTGAAGCCTATTGAGAAGAGTGTTAAGTTTGGCTAAGGAAAGTGTCATCACCAGTTGTTAAATAATTAAATAAGAAGGTATGTGCTTCCTGCTGGTGCAGGAGAATTGTCTGTATTCTGTCAATCATGTTTTAAATAAATGCTGATTGGCCAGGCAGGAAGTATAGGTGGTAAAACCAGATAGGAAGTAGAGGTGATGCAATGAGAACAAGAGAATTCTGGGAAGGAGGAAGCTGATTCTGCCCACTCCTGCCCAGATCACCAAAGCAGCAGGATGTGATCTGCCCCACTGAAAAAGGTACTGAGTCACATGGCTAACATAGATCAGAATAATGGGTTAATATAAGCTACAAGAACTAATAAGTAGCCTGAGCTAATGGACTAATCAGCTTTATAACTTATGGAGTCCTCTGTGTGATTTTTTGGGGGCTTGCTGGCAGTGGGGTACTGGGCGGGACAGAAAACCCCAATGAGCAGGCCCCTTCATGTTATATCCAGCATTTAGGATTAAATTCATAAAAGGTTTTAATCAATTAGTAGTAGGATCCTTACTGTTGTTCTAGAGGTCACTGATAATTATGATGAACACTAGTGTATTGGTCAGGGTTCTCAAGAGTAGGAGAATTTCTAGAATGACTCTCTGTATAAAGGGGATTTATTAGAATGACTTATAGAATGTCATCCAGCTAATCCAACAGTGGCTAGCTGTGAAAGGAAGGTCCAAGAATCAGTCCACAAGGCTGGATGGCTGAACTGGCCTTCAGTATAGGTTGGAATCCTAATAAAACAGACTTCCAGTGATGAAATGGCCTTGCTACTAAGGTGAGGGCAAGCAAGCAAAGAGCAAAAGCTTCCTTCTTCCACGTCCTCATAATAGGCTTCCAGGAGAAGCTGTGGCCCAGATGAAAGGTGTGTTCTCCTGCCTCAAGATCTGGATTAGAAGTGAATCTTCCTACTTCAAATTAAAGAAAAATCCCTTACAAGCGTGCTTCCCAGTTTTGGATTTTAGTTAATTCCAGATGTAGTCAAGTTGACAACCAAGAAGAGCTGACACAACTTGCAAAGATAGGAAGAGATTTGTTTGTAGTGGTCCTGTGACTGACCGTCCAGATGCAGAGAAGTAATCCAGCTACAGGGCAATCAACATGAGACCATACGCCTGTTCTAACACAGGAAGATTAGCTGGCAGACATGGGTTTTAAGTGCTCTGGACTTAAATTTCTGTGCAATCAACAGAATTTCCTTTTGTCCCTGGGCACAAGTTAGGAAAATTTCCCAGCTTTTGTACTGCTGCCATTGTGGGTGCACTTTTAACTTGAACTAGTGTAATGCTTTACTTTGATAAACTGAAAAGAGTCAGGCTTGTCCTTTAACTAAAAATCACATTTATTTATCCATACTGCGTGTGTGCTATGTGTGTGCCATTCATACATGAAGAGGTGAGAGGACAAGGTGTGGGAGCTGATGCCCTTCTACCACGGAGGAACCAGAGAGCTAAGGGAGGTCATCAGGGCTTGGAGGCCTCATGTAAACAGAGTCACACAGTAGACACAGACATTGTCCATCCTGAAAAAAAAAATAAGGATGTTTCAGCCAAGCCAGAAGCCAAAAAGGCAGAAGACTCTGTACTGCTAGCAGCTGCTCAGGTCTGTTCCTACACGTTCCCTGCCAGCGAATGTCACAGTTTAACAACCTCTGTGAATCAGGAGAGCTGCAATGGCAACTCTGCTAGTAGAGGGTGCCTCTGGCCAGAAAAAGAAGAAAAAGAACCCTTGGTGTCTAACTTGAGCAGGCTAGCAGAACTTAGAAAAGGCCACTTCCTTCCTGTGAGGTGACAGGACTTCTGGCTTGCCACCAATGTCACCTTTTTGACCAGCCACATTTTACTTAGGGGCTGTCCAAGCAACCTAATGTGAGTCAGAACAATATCAGCTAACCTGTGACAGGAGAACAGGTACCAGAACGATGCCGGCTCTCAGGTAGCTGCGACGGGGCCTGCGGTTTACTAGCAGCAGCTACCCGACGCCACTGCCTTTTGCTTTTTTTCTTTCCTTTCGGTTTTAGTGTTATGTGCTTAAATCCTTATTTAAATAAAAGGTTTCAGAAATATGAAAAAATAATAGTTGTATTACAAGTTAAAGTATTTTTATAATTTATTATAATTTTATATTTTGATATTTTACTTTCAAAAGAGGGAGTATAGTGTTCTATTAAAAAGTGTAGGATGTGGGGCCTGATGGCCATGGTTCAGACACCATATCTGTTACTTACTCACTGTTTCATCTGGGACCAGTGAATTGACCATATATGTCCCATTTTGTATGTATGTATGTATGTATGTATGTATTTATGCATCTCTCTCCTATATATTTATAATATAAAATGGAGCTAATGATACATGCTAGCAGAAATTGCTTTCAGGATTAGGTGAGCTCACATATAAAGAGATTACCGCAGTGCTTAGTAAATGTTAAATGCAGTAACCAATTTGTGTGCTCAAATGAATTTTCCTGTGCCTGTAGAGAAAAGCTACAAAGAAGAGCATATGCACCAGTGTTCTTGACTCTTCATAAATCCTTTGTTAATGACTCCAATATAAAAGCATAGAAAAGGAGGAACAAAGATCCCACATATTGGGAATTTTGATGTTCGTGTTATTCCCTAAGTGTAAAATACAAAATCAGCAGCAATAAGACAGTCGAATAGAGATTAAGTCTTCTAGAACCGACATCTACTTAAATCGAAACAAGAAGAGACCAGGTTTTAGGAGTGGCAAGAGGGGATCTGGGGAGCCTGAAAGGACTGGGAACTTGTCAAGGACTAGGAGCATGGCCAACAGTGAGAGGACAGCCTTGCTCCTCGGAAAGCGAGGCAGGCTTTCTCATTGCTGGTATTTATGTGTGCGGAAAGCTATAGCGTTTAATAAGCTCTTTGTGTGGACCCCCTCTTGCTGAAGTTTTAACTGCAGTTTATTGGGAAATATTTTTCCTATGAAATCAGATGGAAGACAATAAGGTAATAAATAAGAAATATAGGATTCTCTCTACGGCTCAATTTAAAAGAAAGCATTATCTGTAGATGAATCTCCCCAAGCTGTGCCTGTGCAAGTGAACTAAGTGGAGAGAGGAAACCCTCCTGGTGATACAGGCCAATAAAACCGCTGCTGAGGCATTTGGGATTTAAATTATGCGCGCTGACTTTTTACATTTATCCAAATGTGTTTGTTAGCAGCACCACACGCTAACTGGCTATGCTGAAGTATCCGAATTATATGCTAATAAGATACCTACGACCCAGTTCTCAGAAATCATTAAAACACAAACAGATCATTCTTTAAGATGTTTTAATTTCAGAGGGTGTAAAATACACTGTTTTGTCTTCTTACCTCTAGAAGTTTAGTACAAGGCTGGGCCGAGATGGAGGAGAGAGTTCAGGAAGTGAACACACCTTTCTCTGTCCTAGAGTTGCTTCTGATAATTTCTAGATTCTGGGTCATCATCTAATTCAAATGGGAAATATATTTGCCTGACTCTGTGTAAAACATTTTGTAGAATTTAGTAGAAGATTATGAGATTTCAGAAGAGCTGAAACCTAGTTTTGGAGGCCCATTATATGTAATGATGACACCAACAGTAGATGTAAGAGCCGTATTATTTTATTTAGTACATATAATCTAATGTAATTCTAAAGGGCAATAGAGAATTCAAGCAAAGTCTCTAAAAGATACAAAACCATACAGTATTTTGGTGTCCTGGATAATGAGATGATTAAATCTACCCAGGAGGACCAAGTAAGAAGTTTTAGCTAGGTCCTACGGGTGACTAGGATATGTGGACCATCTAGAAAGGTTGTCTGTCAGTGGCATAGAGTGTGTTGGAGACACAGCACACAAAGGTGGTAACTGGATGCTGGTGCAGTGTGGCAGTCTGTGGGAAGACAGATGCTTGAAGAGGAAGCTCCTCATTTGCAGGGACAGCAAATAAGCTGAGATCGGCCCCTCCCAGTTGTCCTAGCTAGGAGGCGAGCTCAGCCGTGTGCAGAGGCTTTCTAAGAAAATAAGTAACTGCTGAAGACATTCCGCAGACAGTAGGTTGGAACAATGTGGGCATTTCTTTCCTTCCTTTCCCCCATCTCCGCTGCTGAAGACCAGGCTCATTTCCTCCCACAATGAGGCAAGAGTTCTCCAGCTATGTTAAATTTCCCGTTAATGCATTTCCTTAGCTGATTGCTTTTCAGGACCGTTACAATACTCATGTTTAAAGTAATCTTTCAGTGTGAACTTTCAGTCATGTAATATAAAGTGTTCTGAAAACATTGCTTAGCTTGTCTTCAATACTGTTTTTAACACTAGACCCTTTCATGATAATATTTATACTCTAATCCTTTTTTTTTTGGTTCTTTTCTTCTTTCTTTCTTTCTTTCTTTCTCCCTCTTTCCTAAACTTTTATATTTGTTAATTTTTTCATTCTAAGAAATTTGAAATTAAATAAAAAATTTAAAACTCACATGTGACTTAGACACCTGTGTTGGTTTAAAAATGAGTTATACTCTCTGTAAGAAACTGATTATGGAGGACTGGAGGGACGGCTAAGTGGTTAAGAGCACTGATTGCTCTTCAGAGGACCCAGGTTTGATTCTCAGCACACAGGTGGTGGCTCAAAAATAGTTTTCACTCCAGTTCCAGGGGGTCTGACTCCATCTTTTGGATTCTGCATGCACATGATGTACAGACATATGTGTAGGCAAAACGTCCACCACATCAAATAAAAATAAAGGAAAAATATTTAAAAGGAAACTGATTATGAGGACACTGATGATAATATTTGCTACTGTTGAAACTCTGTTATCTCAGTTCTTACATACTTTGTAATAGTAGAAGATGGTTACATCTAATAGTTGTTGACAGAGATTTCTGTCCCACCCGGTCCCACAGTCATTAAGTCCCAAAGAAACACACAGAGGTCTACACTCATTATAACTGGTTGGCCCAGTAGCTCAGGCTTCTTATTAACTCTTTCTTACATCTTATATTAACCCATAATTTTTGTCTATGTTAGCCACGTGGATTGGTACCTTTTCTCATCTTGCTTCCTTTCTGTCTGGTAGATGACTGTAGACTGAGTCTTTCTTCTTTCCAAAATTCTTCTGTTCTCAGCTCCACACTTCTACTTCCTGCCTAGTCTCCCTGCCTATACTTCCTGCGTGGCTACTGGCCAATCAGCATTTATTAAAAGACCACTGTCCCACAGCAAATAGTCTCTTTTAAAAAATATTTTATTTTTCCCTTATTTTAATATATGTATGAGTGTTTTACCTGCTTGTGTGTCTGTGTACCATACATAGTGCTCAGAGGCCAGAGGAAGGATTCAGATCTTCAGAAACTGAAGTTATAGATGGTTTTAACCATCAAGTGGGTGGGAACCAAACTCAGCACCTTTGGAAGAGCAGTGAGTACTCTTAACTATTGAGCCATCTCTTCAGTTCCTAGTTTTATTCTTAAGTGTAAAGTGTGTGTGTGTGTGTGTGTGTGTGTGTGTGTGTGTGTGTGTAGGTTTTTGTAGAAACCAGAAAAGGGAATTGGACTCCCAGGAACTGAAGTTACAGGTAGTTGTAAGGCATCTGACATGTGTGTTGGGAACCAGACTCAGGCCCGTGCAAGAGCAATATGCACTCTTAACACCGAGCAACCTCTATAATCCCTGCATCTAATATTCTTGATGTAAAAACAGTCTTTCTGATTGTAGAATATCTTTTTTTTTATTCCTGTAATTTAAGAATCCAGCTTCTGAGTTCGTTCAAAGTCTACCAGTAGACCCGCTGAATCACTGCAGATCAGTGGATGATGCATCTGAGCTTTTTCCCTAAATTTTTGATTTTTTTCTTTGGGTTGGAAAGATGGCTCAGTGGTTAAGAGCATCTGCTACTTTTCTAGAGGACCCAGACTCAGTTCCCAGAACTCACATGGCAGCTGACAACTGTCTGTAATTCTAGTTCCAGGTATTTATTTGGTGCCTTTTTCTGTCCTTCTTGGATACTGGTCAAGTATATACACCTATATACATATAAGCAAAACACTCAAACACATAAAATAAAATAATTACCAAAATAGAATTTTTCTCACTGTCATTCAACCTATATAATACGTAGAGCTGGCTTTAAAATCTAGAGATATCTGATTTCAAAGTAATTACATTTTATAATCTGTTGTTATGAAAATTAGAATAAAAAACATCAAGGGGATACTGCCTGTAATGGTTATTTCTGGTTGTCAACTTGATTACAGTTGGAATTAACAAAAATGGAGGTCATATCTGTGAGGGATTTTTGCTTAATTTGAAGTAGGAAGAGCCACTTTAAAAAAACTTTTTATTGACTGTGGATTTCACAACATGCATCCCAATCTCATTCATCTACTCATCCATTCACATCCACCCTCTGGTCTTGCAACCTTCCCAACAAACAAAATAAAATTAAATTTAAAAGAGAGAAAAAATAAAATGATCTTATCATGGAAGGTACAGTAAGACACAGTGAGTCACACGGTGTACCCTTCAGACCTTACACCTTTGCTTATAAGTGTTCACTGCAATGAATCAGTGGTATGGTTTGAGGCCTCTGGCTTCTGCTGGGTCCTCCATGGGTCCACAAGGAGATGGACATCATGTTGCCCTGTGTCATGGAGATTTTGCAGCTCTGGATGCTCCAGGAGCTCATAGGTGGGGTGGATGCTAGGGTAGGCCAACTCAGAGCTCTGCTTCTGGGACTGGGTTGACCAGCTTTCCAGTCCCCCTTTGTAGGAGGAGAGGCCGCTTGTTCGTCCTGGCTGCCCAGAACCAAAATAACCATACCGAAACTGTATTATTTAAAATACTGCTTGGCCCATTAGCTCTAACTTCTTATTGGCTAACTCTTACATCTTAATTTAACCCATTTCTAGTCATCTGTGTATCGCCATGTGACAGTGTCTTACTGGCTAAAGTTTTGGAATGTCTGTCTCCTGAGGCTCCATGGCATCTCTCTGGCTGGGCCTTCTTCCTCCGAGCATTCAGTCCAGTCCTCCCCGCCTACCTAAGTTCTGCTCTATCGACAGGACAAGGCCGTTTCTTTATTCATTAATGGTAATACAGCACACAGAGGGGAGGGGACTCCCACATCACCCCTTCATCCTCCTCATCAGGGCCAGCTCTTAGCACCTCCCAGACTAGCTCACCCTATGTAGCAAGCAGCAAGGGTTGGGGTGGTTATCGTGCCCTCATGCCCTTGAGCCAGCTCACTTGTACCTACACCATCAGGGCCAGCTCTGCTGTGTGGCCCAGGTGAGTCCTGCAGCTAGTGAGGGGCAGGACCAGTTCTCCCACTTTCATGCCAGAGAAGTCAGCTATAAGTTCTGTTATGCTAGAGAACTCTGACTAAGACATTGGCATTCTTTGTGTAATTTACACAACTCAAGAAATATATTTCAGGCTATGATTCAGTGCTTTGAAATATTAATTTCTTTGTAAGGATGGACATCATCTTATAGACAAGAAATTTATCTTCCCTAGAAGTTCTGAGAACCTCGTGGAAAAGGGGGAGGAAAGATTACAGGGGACAGAAGGGATGTAGGACACAGGGAGATCAGGGTCCACTATAAATCAACCAAACAGGGTTCACATGGGCTCAGAGAGATTGAAGTAGCAGGCATGGGGTCTACATAGGTTTGCACCAGGTCCTCTACGTATATGCTATGGTTTTTAACTTGGTACTTTTGTGAGACTTCAGCAGTGAAAGTTGGTTTGTTTCTCATTCTGCTGCCTGCTCTTGAGACTCTTTTCCTCTTATTAGGTTGCCTTGTCCAGCTCCAATATCAGGGATTTTGCCTTGCCTTATTCTGTCTTGTTTTGCCCTGTTTTGCTGTCTTGTTTTGAAGACCTGCTTTTTTTCTGAACAGGAAATGGAAAGGGAGTTATAGTTTTCCTTGTTTACCTGACACAGAAAGCAAATTATGATAGAAAGTAAATTTGGTAGAAGATTTTGGACTCACCAAGATAGGATAGATATGGAATATTTTCTCTGAATTTGTCAAATGCAAATGGAAAAGACATCTTTGATGTATTTATTGCCTGTATATATTGTACATGGTTATTGTATTTATTGTATATAGCTTTTCTTATATTAGCTATAGCCTTCTTTTATACTTCAGACAAAAAGGGGAAATGTAGTGGCATTTCAATTGTATTTTAATAAATAAAACTTGCCTGGGGATCAGGAAAGTAAAACAGCCACATTGGTCAGTCTTACAGCCAGGCAGTGGTAGCATAACACCTTTAATCCCAGTAGCCATACTAGCTACCATAGAAAATGGACAGTGCATACCTTTAATCCCAAGTCTAGAGAGGAGACAACTCTCAGACACAGTCTCATTCCGAGATTCCCGGAGGCAGGATCGCCATTTTGGACTGAGGTTGAGGTAAGAGCTAGTGGTTGGCTATTTTGCTTTTCTGATCTTCAGGTTGAACCTGTTTCTGTCTCCGAGTTTTTATTTATCATGCTACACTCCCAGTTGGTGGTGCTGTTCAGATTGGTCATGGAGCCTTTAGGAAGTACCGTCCTGCTGGACAAAGTATATCCCTGGATAGAGAATGGAATTTTGAGTGTTTCTAGCCTTGCTTCTACTTCCCGGTTTTACTCTCTGCTTCCTATATGTGAATAAAAATGTGGAGAGCCCTGCTCTGCTGCTATGCCATGTGTCTTAGGTATTTTTCTATTGGTGTGAAGACAGCACAACCAAAGCATTTATTGAAGAAAGAGTTTGTTCAGGTCTCACAGTTCAGAAGGCAAGTCCATGACCATTATGGCAAGGGGCATGGCATCAGGCAGACATGACATTGGAGCAGTAGTTGAGAGCTTATATCCACATCCAAGCAGGAGTCAGGGAGAACTAACTGGAAATGGGGTGGGCTATTTAAACCTCAAAGTCCAAGTCAGTGACACTTCTCCAAAAAGGCCACACCTCATGATCCTTCTCAAACCGTTCCACCAATTAGAGACCAAGCATTTAGACATAGGAGCTTATGAGGGCATTGTTGTAGGAGCCTGCTCATTTGCTCCCAACTGCTTAGACTTGAAATAATCACTCAGAAACTATATTATTTGCAATATTGTTTGGCCAATAGCTTAAACGTCTTTTTAGCTAGCTCATATCTTAAATTAACCCATTTCTATTAATCTGCGTATTGCCATGTGGCTGTGGCTTACTAGCAAGCTTCCATCTAGCGTCTGCAGGGCTACATGGTGTCTCACTACTCTGCCTTCTTTCTCCCAGCATTCAGTTTAGTTTTCCCCACCTAGCTCTACCCAATCCTATCACAAGCCAAGACAGATTTTTTTATTCATTAACCAATAAAAGCAACACATATACAGAAGCATCTCACACACCAGGGCATTCTCATTCAAACCACCGTATCATATGTTCCTCTCAATTATGGATTCCACCCCTTTGGGACCATACGTCAAAATAACTTTTTTCCTTAAATTAATCTTGGTCACATTTTATCCCAACAATAGAAATGTATCTAATACCACAAACTCCATGTATTGTATAAAGCATGGTAAAAAATGGCTTCCGGTCTTTCTCTGCCAACTGGCTTTTTTCATATATCAAATTTAATCTTTTTTTTATTTAAATTTAATCTTTCAGTCCCTAGTCCCTGTTTCTCCTCCACAACATCACTTAGTATATGAGAAATAGAAACAGAAACATCTTGGAAGCTTTCTTCAGACTGACAATTCTTGTAAAAAAGGCTCAGGAAAGGAAAGTGTGCGGTAACTGTGTCTAAAGACTGGTGGCTTGAAATGTATGGTATGCAATTTTTTTTCCAGAATTGAACATTTAGGAATTTAATGAAATGCAAAACAACAAAAGTAAAACTCAAAATGAATAACTTTCATTTGTGAAGGGAAAAGAACCCAGGAAGTATAACATAGTGTAATACTGAGGAGCCATCTTTAGAGGGAGCACCCGGAAGCAAACAGTCTTTAGCACAAGCTCTGAGGGGACTCGTGACTGTTCAGTGCACACTCCTCAGGCTATTCTCAGATTGGAGGCGTGAATAAGGAACAGGCTGATGTGTGGAATTGATTTTTTAAAAATGTGAAAATGCTTGAGGTTGACATTTGTTAAAACCCATTCCACTAAATGGTATAATTTTTAATAACTACATAAGAAACCAAAATGTCAAAAGACGGATCAGTCCTCTCTCTAGGATCTTTAGGAACCTGCTTTCCTCACCCCTACTGTGGCTCTTTCGCTTGGAAATTATTGGCAACAAAAGGACAAGTCTTATTTTTGCAACCATAAGGGGATAAGGAAGATGGTATTTGAATTGTAAAAGCCCTTCATAAAAATGCTTACTTTCAAATGAAGATGGTGCTTTAGTCTGAAGACCAATTCTTTTGCACTTTTACTATCTAATATACTGGAGAGTTTCAGTTGATAATCTTCATAAGTCTAATTATTAAATATGAAATGAACCTCCTGTTCTCCATTAGGATGCTTAACTTCAATTTTCATAGTATAATGCAGTAGAAAGGGCAAGGGTTCCGTTCTTAAAACTCAAGCAGGAAACTCATTTGTCTTCTAGGCAAGAGTGACTTTAACAATAGATTAAGTTTCACAGATATTTAAGAAAATGAGTTTCAGGAGGTAGTAAAGGGCCTAAGGCTTTTTGCAAAGACGTTTCAAGACTTAAACGTTTCCACCCTGACTCTGTTCTTGATTTTCCTGACTTCTTCCCTGCCTGTGAGGGGACACTGTGCTGTGGGCAGCAGGAGTGATAAAACTTGCCTTTCCCTGGGGAGGGGTCTTCCAAGAGTTGCTCCTACTTCAGATTCACTTAGTTCTCATCACTACAATGGCACAATTAAAAAGTGAATTAAATAAAACAAAAAAGTCTTTGTGACGTAAAAACAGCAGTGATCTACGTAGGGCAGTAGTTCTCAAAGTTAAGTATGTATCAGGACTGCTTTTAGGAAGTTTTAGCACATCAGAAACTCCAGCCCCAGAATTATTTCTAATTCTGTTGGAATGAAGGGTACAACAACTTGCATTTTCTAAAAGGTCCTTTGAGAAGCACTTGGGGATTCTGGCAAGTGGGTGCAGACTCACCTATATGCTTCACATGAGTTTCAAATAAGTTAAGACATGGACTTTATTTGCCTCTACCCATTGGAGTATGTGGTGATCCATGGAGAAGCCAGAGTTGTAGACCTGTTGTCTATAGTGGGGAACAGCCTAGCCTACTCATTCTAGTGTGACATAGAACCGTTATGATTCTGTAGCAACAAGTTTTATCCTCTCTGCTGCCCCGCGGCACAGGGTCCCCTCACAGGCAGGGAGCATCATCTTTGCTGCCCCGCGGCACAGGATCCCCTCACAGGCAGAGGAGTTGCTGTTTGCAGGGAAGAGATTAGGAAAATCACATGCAGAGTCAGGGTGGAAAGAGGTTAATTCTTGGAAAACCTTTGCAAAGAGTCTTTGGCTCTTTACCACCTCCTGTAACCCCTCCCCTCTCTCTCTCTCACACACACACACACGTCACACATACACATATATTCAGTTGTACAGAGCCTTAAGATTTTAGCAATTTAATTATTTCATGGGAAAATTCAGTAGGTATACCTTATCTTGGTAATAGATTATTTAAAATATTGCAAATTTTCCTTGAATCATTATCCAAACAGTTCCTTTCACAAGTTGAGAGAATGATAATATAGTCATATACTGGATAGATGCTGGGAAAACACCAATATGACAGTGATCCCACAAGATTATTTGATTCAAAATACTTTATTTTGATTTTTAACATGTACACATGAATGTAGTACCTATGGAGGCCCAAACTGGGCATTGGTGACAGTTATGAGCCAACTGATGTGGGTGCTGAGAACGGAACTCAGGTTCCCTGGAAGAGGGCAGCAAGCACTTTTTATTGCTGATGCATTCTTATTGCAATCTTGATTTCATAAAAGTAGAGTTTGTGTTGTCTAGATGTTGCTCATCACAGTTTAAGGCATTATCCACACACATTTTGTCGGCCATGCTGATATAAACAACTCACTGCATGGCTAATCATATAAAAGTGTACCACATAAGATTATGTATAGTACACAAGATTGGCTAAGAATGCTTATGGCTCTCACAGAGGGCTGATTCGTAGCACCCATGTCTAGACGCTTGCAACCATCTGCAATTCCCACCCCATCTAGGATGCTCCAGATGCCCGTACTCATGTCTAAATTATTCCCTTGCATATACATATAATTAAGAGAAAGTCTGGTACATACTACTTGATAAAAAGAAATGATTATGATACTGGCTTACACATTTACTATTTTTAATTGCTATTTTGTGGTCTACTCTTTGTACAGAGTACAAACTTTAGAAGTTTACATATAGGGAGCTGGAGAGGTGACTCAGAAGTTAAGAGTATTAGTTGCTCTTCCAGAGGTCCTGAGTTCAATTCCCAATAATCACATACTGGCTCACAGTCATCTTTAATGAGATCTTGTCCCTCTTCTGGCATACAGGCATACATGTAGGTAACATACTGTACATATAAAAGATAAAAAAATCTGAAGGAAGAAGAAGAGGAGGAGGAGGAAGAGGAAGAAGAAGAAAAGGAAGAAGAAGAAGAAGAAGAAGAAGAAGAAGAAGAAGAAGAAGAAGAAGAAGAAGAAGAAGAAGAAGAAGAAGAAGAA